TCTTATTTCTGTAAAACAGTAACAAAACAAACAAGAGAAAGACTGGAAAAGATTTTTAAAAAATATTTTCACCAGGAAGAAATGCGTACAAAAACAACACATGGCCCCACACAAAAAAGCACAATTTTGTTTCCAGAAGATACATTTGTTTGTTATTTGAAAGGCAGGAAGGAAAGACAGACAGACTGCCAAACACAGTCTCATTCCCTTGAAGCCCAACAACAACCAGACCGAGCCCAGGATCCCACTCAGATCTCTAACTTGGTAGCAGGGGCCCAACCATTAGGGCTTCCACCTTCTACCTTCCCAAGTGCTTAGGAAGAAGCTAGACTAGAAGCTGAGTACCTGGGGCTTGAATCAGCACTCAGAAATCATGATGTTGTGTCACAAGTTCCATAATACCTGTTCAAAAAGGTACAGTTTATGTTGGTTGTTAATGAGAAAGTACTTTATAAGCAGGTATTCTGATTAGGGATGGGTTTTAACCACATCAGCAATGCTGCCCCAGGCTGCCTTTCAATAACCAAACTGCACAACACACACAATTGGAAATAGAGAAAATCACTGGTTTTTTTTTTTAAGTATTACTAAGTAGTTATTGGGCCTTACATTTTACTAAATTCTAATAATATTTCATGAGATAATCATTATTACTTTCCTCACGAAGATGGGCAAACTGAGACATGAAAATTACAGAAAATTTCCCATGGTCATATAGTTTTTTTCAAATGCTATAACCGCAAGGTAACTTTCTAATCATTTTGTTTCATGATAAAACATGGAACATTTTATTGATAAGAAAAGGTCAACACGCAACTGCATCTGAGTTGAGAATTTTCCCACCATTGCAAATGTAACAAAAGACAGATCTGAAAGTCACTGCCGTAGCAGGACTGTCCTTTTACATCTTACATCATTGCCCCGAGACAGCCACGTAACAAGCTGGTCTAGTCTAGCAGGAATGAGGCACAGCATGTACACCCCAGCCACAGCTGGCGAGAGCCTCGTCCGGGAGACCGCCTTGCTCCTGTGGCCCATCAGCTGCTCTCTGACTACAAGTGCACACTCAGCACAGCAGAGCAGCAGCTCATCCGAGCAATCCAAACAATCAAAACAAGTAATATGGTTTGAAGACAGTAAATTTAGAAAGGTTTGTTATGAAGTAAAAACTAGCTTATTAAGAACCCATCATAAGCCTCCTCGTCTTAAAAGTCCAGGTCTATAAAATGAAGAACCAGAGATGATCACCAGAACCATATTAAACTTAAAAATGATTAGCGATTCACATTTCAAGATAAAAACAAAATATAACAAATTCGATGAGCATCACGTTACTTAGTTCAGATAGAATAAAAGGAATTACTAGAATTAATCAATGTTTAAGAGAAACTAAGAAACATACAGACAATAGATACCATGTAACTTCATTTCTATGAAATTTTAGAAGACCAAAACTAAATGATCTGTAAGCTGTAACTCCAAGCTTAAACTAGGAACAAGCATAAATGTATACTTTCTAAAAAAATCAAGGTATACATTTAACAACAGCAGAAAGGGTTGAGAGTTACAGTCCCAAGGCACCTCCGAGACGGGGGTGCAGAAGCCGCACAGAATTTTTTTTTTAAATATCTATTTAACCGGAAAGGCAGATTTACAGACAGGAGGAGACAGATCATTTGTCTGCTGGTTCACCCCTCAGGTAGTCGCAATGGCCGGGGCTGATCCAATTAGAAGCCAGGAGCTTCTTCCGGGTCTCCAGGCTTTGGGCAGTCCTTGACCGCCTTCCCAGGCCACAGGCAGGGAGCTGGAAGGGAAGTGGAGCAGCTGGGACATGAACTAGCACTCATATGGGATTCTGGCACGTGCAACGCAAGGATTTAGCCACTAAGCTATTGCGCTGGGTCCCTGCACAGAAATTTTTAAAGGGGGAATCTCAAATCATAGGAGAAAAGCATAGTATTTAACAAAATATGCTCAAAAATACCCACACAAACCAGAAATACAGCAAAACTAAAATCTTGAAAGGAATGGTATAAATTATGCTGAGAAAATCTCTTAACAGAAACAACCACAGGCTAAGAAAAAGATACAAGATAAAGACAGGAGTGGGACTGTGGCACTGTAGCCTAATGGGTTAAACCATCAGCAATGCCCTCAGCCCATGTGGATGCAGGTTCAAGAAATTGCTACAGGCCCGGCAGCGTGGCCTAGCGGCTCAGTCCTCACCTTGAATGCGCCCGGGATCCCATATGGGCGCCGGTTCTAATCCCGGCAGCTCCATTTCCCATTCAGCTCCCTGCTTGTGGCCTGGGAAAGCAGTCGAGGACGGCCCAAAGCCTTGGGACCCTGCACCTGCGTGGGAGACCCGGAAGAAGTTCCTGGCTCCTGGCTTCGGATCGGCATAGCACTGGCCGTTGCGCTCACTTGGGGAGTGAATCATTGGACGGAAGATCTTCCTCTCTGTCTCTCCTCCTCTCTGTATATCTGACTTTCCAATAAATAAACAAATCTTTAAAAAAAAAAGAACTTGCTACTCCACTTTGGTACAGCTCCTGCCCACTGCATCTGGGAAAGCAGATGAGCCCCTGCAGCCACATGGGAGACTAGGATGAAGGTCCTGGCTCTAGCTGGGTCCCATTTTGTGAGTGAACTGGTGCTGGGAGATGGCTCTGTCATTCTTTCTCCCAAATAAATTGAACAGAAACCTGAATAACTTTGCTCTAATACAGTATCATTAGCAGTGGTCACCACAGTACAATTCAGCATTAAAATGATTCCTCAAGTCTCAGCATTTCACTCTGGCCCATCCTTTCCAGCCTGAGAACTCTCCCAGACTCTGGTTATTGACAGCAATTACAGAAAACCACCTTAGGGACACATGTTCTGTGCTCACTCTAGATTTCTGGAATTCGCTCTCTGCTCTGATCAGACAGTAGGAAATGTTTCCAACAGTAATAAAATCACTAATCGCACAGTGACATAAATACGCAAAACCCCGCCAACGGACTGCCTTAATCACACATTTAGAAGAGGTAAGGTTCTGGTGATGGTACACTTGGTTCCTTACTGGTGAAACAATGAGTTGAAAAAATTAACTTGTTGCTTGTAAATACAAAATGCAAATGAGGCAAGAAAACAATGTTTTAAAATTCCTAGTTCACATCACCTCACGACCTGAAAGTTTCTATGTCTGCCCTGAAATATTGATCTCCTGCTGCTTAAGTGAGACTGCTGAAAACCAAATCAAGACAGTCTTTACACCGGGGGTGGCCACTGCCCTCAAACGCCCCGCCATGTGGCACTGATGCCAGGGTGACTCCTCACACGGGGCAGTCCCTCAGACTCCCTCCCTAATAAAACCGCCTGACTGAAAGCCGCTTGTCAAATTGCCTCTAACTTAACTAAATTCATGTAGTCACGAAAAGCAATGATACTGTTTTGTATGTACATACTTACTTATTCCTAAAACTATATCTGAACATGACATCGATTTTGTTAACTTAGAATATCAGCTTAATGGGGTGTGCCATCATCTTCCGACCTTTTCGGCACTTCCCCGGGCAAACCTTGGTGAAATCTGAGAATACATTAACATGCAAATGAACTCAAAAGCCACTTCCAGGCTCCTATGTGGGCAATGGTTCATGTCCCACTGCTCCACTTGCAATCCAGCTCCCTGCTGAGTGGCTTGGGAAAGCAGTCGAGGACGGCCCAAAACCTTGGGACCCTGGCACCTGCATGGGAGACCCAAAAGAAGCTCCAGGCTCCTGGCTTTGGATAGGCTCAGCTCCGGCTGTTGGGGCCACTTGGAGAGTGAATCACTGGACGGAAAATTCCTCTTTGTCTTTCCTTCTTTCTGTTAATTTGTTTTTCAAATAAAAATAATGTAAATCCAAAAAGAAAAAACAAAATCTACTTCTGAAATTCTGAAAACATGGGTTATTAATACACCAAGAGTTCTGAAAATGCCTCAACCTCTGAAATGAACATGACTTTATTTAAAATTCAACAGATGTAACATGAAGACTATTTCAGAGTAACAGGATAATTGTTTGAAAATTATAAGGAAAAAAAACCAAAAGAAACAGGGTGACTTCTTCTAAATATTAAAAATCACAGGAAAGATCAAGTACAAGAAGTCTATTTCTTTATTCATGAATCTCAACATATGCTAGCTACAGTTCTTATATACCCAAATGCTTTTCAGAGCTGAACAGCTACTTTAATAGGTAAATTACACAGGAGTTTGAGAATGCATCTAACTAATGGATTAAAGTGGGATTTGTGTGGAGATTGAATAACCCAGAATGCAACTTTAATCTCTCCATAGTTGTACAACAGAACATGTCAACGCCTGGTTTAAGACTTCTAAAAAGACCCCTTAATGCCCAAGTTTTCCTGAAACAACACAGTGTAATTTCTTTAGTTCCAATAAAACATGTTATTTTGTTTCAGTAAGAATAGCTCTAACATCTGATGCTCACCTATCCACATTTTTCTCACCCATAAAAATCTACAAAATTGGGGGGCCTGGTTAATTATCTGCGGCAACAGTGGTATTCCATGAGTACCAGTTTGAGTCCTGGTTGCTCCCGGAAGAGCAGAAGAGAGCAGTCCCATCCCTCAGGCTCCTGGCTGCAGCCCAGCGCAGCTATGACAGTGTGGCCATTTGGGAGTGAACCAATGGATCATTTCTTTTTTTCCCCCCATCTCTGTAATTCTGCCTTTCAACTAAACACAGATAAATCTTAAGAACAAAATTTATACAATTATTTCTGAATAAGGAACGTAAGGTTTTTCATTTTTAAAGTATCTGAAAGGCAGACACATACACCATTTAATAAAAGATAGACCAAGATAGAGAAAAGTTTTTACTGAATAAGAGTCACTTTTAAGTAGAAAACAATCTGAATGACCAGGCTCAGGTTCACGCTACTGTCTACAAGAACATGAAATGGCTTTAAATCTACACACAAAAGGTAGCACTCATCACATCTTACCTTTATCAGTTGCTACTTTGTCTACACATCTGTAAGAAATAAGAATCAAGCATTCAGTCAGCAGTCTGCACACTGTCTTAAAACATAAACATAGAACTCTATAACTTAGCCCCAGAGTGACAGAATCGGGAACGGCACCAACTCTCAGGCCCAACTCTCTCCGAAGTGAAGGAAATGACGTCACCTACACAGTTCAACACGTTGCTTGCAAATGCTGCTGCTAACTGAGGAATCTAACTTTAATTGTTAACATAAACAGCCCCATGTAGAGCTAGAACATCATACAGAAAAGTTAACCACAAACTGACACCAATGCAAAGAAAATATTACCAGTTTTTAAAATGGTAAAAGAAAATGTATGTGATTGTTTTATATAAATGAAGTAAGTAGCAATGAAATGACTTTTCTATTCTAGCATTATTTTTGTCAAATAAATACAATGGAGGAAGGAGAATGTCAAAGTCTCAAATTGTTCCATCTAGGTAATAAATACTGGGTTTCCGTTACACAGATTTATCTTTTGGGGAACATGTAATAAATTTTCTAGCAAACATTTAATGAAGCAATCAGAAAGACGCTAAAATTGCTAATCTCAAACCAAAATCTAGATAAGGCAACAGCTGGATGCAGCAATGAACAGAACTTGGACTTTACAAGCTAGAACAGTAAAGAGCTGGCTCTTCACCACTTTCTAGAGGGAGCAGCAAGGTGAGCGAGCCTAATGCAGGTGCTCCGGAAGATACAAGCAGATTCAAAAGCCACAACCAATAATCTATTCTCTTTAGAAGGAATAGCTATCATTTCTAATGTTCTGTGTATCTTTTTGAAAAGCTGTTTTTTTTTTCATTTTAATCTAACTGCAGTCTGAGAATTTCATTGGTCCTGTAGTAGTAGAGAAGATGGATTTTTTTTTGCTTTTAATCAGCAAAAATTATCCAGAAACCCCTCTAATAGCGCTTTCAAATACTTTCTGTGGGATGTAATTATATTAAAAAATTATAAACACTCCACTTGAAATAAAGTTATTTGAGAATCTAAGCTCTGTACTACATTGACTGAGAAGCAAATGATGAACCTAATTTTTAGCCTGTACTTGCAAGGGTACTTCAAAAAGTTCATGCTAAATGTATTTAAAGTTTACTTTGGTACAAAACACTTTGAAATCTACGCATATGTATTTAAACTTTGATCAAATTTGGTTAGTCTTTCCTTGGCATTAACTTGTTTTGGTTTTAACTTATGATTCTGGCATTTAACTTTCTCTTGGGCACCTTTACTGAAAACATTTTTTCCCTTTCCATTCACAAATACCTCCTTTACTCTTCCAATTCTACCAGTGTAACACACATATGAAGTTGCTTTGCGCTTCTGACTTACGAAATTTCAACAATTATCCAATTATAAAGCTGGCTTCATGAATTCATAAAATACCAATTACACATGAAGCAGGTCCAAAGAGGTCAAGTGAACTGTCTTAATGCCCACTGGGCAACCAACGCACAGCGGGCACTCGGAATCCCAGCTAGCTAGCATTTTTTTCCCCAGTGTTTTTTCCACTATATTATTCTGCCTTCTAATAGAAACAGATCTCAGAAAACTCACACATCTGGACGTGAGACCTGAGTTTTTATACGCTATGCCATCTCCTTGACTAAGGGAAGGATGTCCAGGATCACAGCTGATTATTAGGAGTTTGAAGGGGAAAAAAAGAGAAATACGGAAAAAGGGTCTGAGTGAGGTTAATTACTAAATCACATTCTTTACTTCCTTTCAAAAACTGTCACATTCTTTGGGAAACAGAGACAAATGAACCAAGGTCAGGGGTTCAACAAACAGATCAAATCTCCTAAAATGTCTCAGAGCATTATGCTGGGAAAATTAGTTTTAAAATGTATTTTATCATTGGAAGTCCGTAAGCCATGTACATACACATCTGAGAAATCTCCAGGAATCCATGTTTAATTTGCACCGTAAGGGGAACGTGGTCTGCCTAACCTGGCACTCAGCGTCAGGCCGTCCCCGCTCAAGCAAGAATGCCAAGTTGAAACGTTTCCCAGCTGGACAGAAAATGGAAAACGTTTGTCAAAAACAGTATTCCGGCAAACCCTAGCGATCTGATCAAACTACCTAACTTTAAAGCCACCGTCAGGACACCTGGTGCTCAACGTCAGGCACCGGCATCTCCACGGCCTGCCTGGATGGATGACGAGCAGGGACCTGCTTTGACCGCCGACAAGCAGGGACCGGCATGGGGGCATCAGACTAGTGTTTCCTGCCCACGGGAACTTTGTGGAGAACAGTCCGAGGACTTAGGAAGTCGTCTTCACGCAGGCTCAACCGTTCAACATTTATATTGTGGAAGTCAAATGATGCGTTAGTACCCTGCCAGAAGTTATGGGAAAAAAATTAACGATGACTCCACATATCTTAAATGATACAGGTATATTCAACTCTTCAAAGAGTAGGAGAAAATGAGAGTATTTAAAATATATCTTATTAGCCTCTCTAGAACACAAACCCAAAACTATCACCAAATGTCATTGGAATCTTTTACTTAGTAGTTACTATGCGCCAGGCCTAGTAGCAAGTGTCAATTCTCACAGGCTCACAGTATGGCAACTATTTCACATCCCTAACTCGGCACAGCCAGAGGGCCCAGCAGGCCAAAGGACTTACCCAAGGCACCTACTTCTAAGTGAGGCTAATGGACCACATGTGTCCACATTCAATAAGTCAACATAAGCTTTGTAAAAAAGAAAATGAATCTACAGCAACTAAGGTTTTAATTGCAACTGGTTTGTATGTGTATATTTCTGTCATCAGAAAAATAGTCACAACAAATTTAGCAAACCCTGTTGCCCTTCAAATGCACATGTAACACCACAGTGACACATCTTTAAACCTTATTCCTCTGTCGGGGCGTTTCTAAGGCAAAGCCGCCAAGTCAGAGACTTAATTTTGGAACCTATCTATTTCAAGGTTTAAATTTTCCTAACGTAAGCGAGCCGCGCCACTATTGCTGCTGGGGTTCCGGGAATACTCACTCCGGACTTCTCCCTCTCCCTTCAACCCTCCCTGCTCTTACTAACACCTTAACTGCAAAGGCAAACGACAATGGTGTTTTCTGCACTCAATCTAATAGCTAGATCGATTCATCTCTAGCGCTTACAAACTCGAGTGTTTTGAGTAACCTCACCGGGAGCAGTCGTTTTATAAACACTTTTAACCTATTTACGTTCGTGGCCCGCGGGAACTCCCCTTGCAGATGCGTCCACTTCGGAGAACCGCTCTACACCAAACAAACTAGAAACACGGAGGCCGGCCCGGAGCCCGAGCTGCCCCTTCCCCACGCCACTCACCCGAGCCGCGGACTCCTCTTGCCCTGAGCCGGAGACGGGGGCTTGCTGGCCTGCGACGGCTGCCCCGGGGCGTCCAGAGGCCTGGCGCTCGGGCTGCTCCTCCGCCGGCGGGGATACTCGGCCTTCCTCCGGCGGGACACGGCGGCCGCGGCGGCAGCAGCAGCAGCGGCCGCGGCGGCGGCCCGGCCTCGGTCCCGACCTCCCCTCAGCACGCGGCTGCTCGTGGTCCCCGCGGGCGTCCCTCCCGCCGCCGCCGCCTCAGGGGGCCGTGGCTTGGCGTGCCCCGGGGCCGCCTGTGCCGCCGCCTGCGCCCCTTCCGGGTCCTGCTGCTGCTCCGGGGGTCTCGGCTCTTCCGTCTCCCCCGGCATCGGGGCTCGCCCGTCCCCCACCCCCTCGGGCCAGGCGGCGGCGGGCGGAGGCGGCGGCCGCCCGGAGCGTCCGGCTCCCTGGGGCTCCGAGCGCTCGCTCCTTCCCCCTCCCCGCCCCGCCCCTCCCGCCCGCCGCCGCCGCCGGGCTCCGAGGGCGACCCGCCGCTGCCACTCAAGGCCCGCGACCGCCGACGGCACACGCGCGCACGCGCGCCCGCTCGCAGCGGACCCGCACGGCCGGCCAATCGGAAGGCGAGAGCCGCGGCCCGGCCCCGCCCCCCGGGCAGGGCTCCCGCCCGCGACCCTCGCCGCAGCCAATCAGGACGCGGCTCCGGGGGGAGCGCGCGAGGTTTCCTTCCCCGCGCACCCCTTCTCGCCGTTAAACGGCTGCGTCTCGCGACAATCCCCAAAGTGACCTTTCCTCCCGTCCGCCCGCCCGCCTGCCGCCAACCCCGGCTCCGGAGCCCGGCGCGCGCTCGGGGCCCGAACCCGGCCTCTCCCCGCCTCGCGCGGACGGGCTGCGCGCGCACCTGCCTCCCCGCGGGACCCGCAAATGCCACAAGGGCTCTCTCTGTCCTTCCTAAAGGCCGCACAAGTTCAGCCCGGCTGTCCTTCCGTCTCCCACCCCCGAACCCCGAACCCACTTCCCTGTCTCTGCTTTTTCTCTGTCCCCCAGCGTCGCCACGTCTCGCGGTGGGGAAGAGGGCAAATTTTTGAGTTGTCGCTTCTCCTTTAAGAAAAAAAGCCCAGGCGGCTGCCGGAGGAAAAGTCTCCGCAAAAATGGCGGCGGCAGAGGCGAGGCGGGGTCGAGGGAGTCACGAGGCCCCGCGTCGGCGCAGGCGCACGACCACGCTCAGCCGAGAGCATCTTGGGAGATGAAGTCCTGTTTATCAAGACCCTAAAACTATGTGGGAAAGCCGGGGCCGAGAGGATGCCGGGAGATTAGTGGCTGGCGACGGGAAAGGTAGTTTCCCCGACAGCCGGGGTGACTTCCCCCCCACAGTGCTTCCGGGTTAGGTCGGGATGCGTGCGCACGTCCTAGCTGGAGCGCGCAGCCAATGGGCGGTCGAGACCGCCCGGAAGGGTGCACGTGACCTGGGAAGACTTTGGAACTCGGAGTGGCCGGGGAGCTGACCCTGCTGGCTCGGTGGATGACCCCTCCCTCGGGGCGGGCCGGCCTTCGCGCCTGCACCGTTGGTGTGGTCCGCGCGTCCTGCTCCGCAGGCTTCTTGCTTGCTCGACACTCAGGAACGCGTTGCGGGGGCGCGAGGGGCTGGCGTGGGCCGTGGTCCCCGGCCGCGCGGACTCGCGGCGACCCTCACGGGGTGGCCGGAGCTGCATCCTCCGCCCCGCCGCGGGGCCTGCGGCTAGTGCGGTTCGTCAGCGTCCCTGGGCTGCGCAGGAAGCGGGCTCAAGTCATTCGTGACGGCTCGCGTGTGTGAGGTGTCTCTTTTGTCACCAGGGAGATTCCGACTCCCCCGGGTCGCCCCCATCCTCTCCCCTGCCTTCTTTTTAAAAAATCAGTTACAATAGGGAATGATGGACAAACTCAGTTGCTTGGCCCTTGGAAAATACAACTTCCTGGGTGCTGAGGATTTAAGCCTCGGAAACAAGAGCTGGGAATCCCGCCCTACGTTTCACGTTAAGCTGGGAAACTACGGACAGGTGCCGAAGTATGTTTTTGCTCTGCAGCGTTTTGACTCCGTCACCACTTAAGATTGGAAAGTTTTTTTCCAATATCCTAGGGTATTTTGGATTTTTGCAATGTCATTTTTAGTTGTAAAAATGGTCTGACATAGCGTCAATGGAAATTTTGTCAAATTGCATTTCCAGTGAGTGTTAACTTTTGGAACAGCACTGACATCCAATGGCTGTTTAAAGTAACACAGAGTTCCATTAAAAGCGGAGTCTCACTGACAGTAGTATTCGTGGATGACTTCTGCCTTTTAAGACCACTGTGTGGCGAAACGATGGTAACTTTGTTGCTTTAGTACTGAGGTGGTCCCCGAAGCTGTTTGCTGTGAGAACAGAGCCACGGTTAGAGTTCTTGATATATGGCCAGCTCCCAGGAAGCTTTCTGTTAGGTTTGATGTCCTGGAAGGTAGATGAAGTCACATGGTAAGGAGTTGATATGCAGCTCCCAGGGAACCTGGTACCCAGCTGTTTGCAGCCAGGTCTCATTGAAGCATGTACAGGCCTGGTGTCTTAAAACCTTCCGGTTCTGTTCTTGATGACTCCTGACGTTTGGGTCCTGCTCGAATTCGGTCGGCCCCGAGACAGAAATGTGAACCCGTTTCTAGTTTTGAAGGAAAGCAGGGGGTGAGCATTATGTCTGAATAGCTAAGTAAATACAGCCAAAAGGGCTAAGTGCTGACTAACTGTTCAGAGAATTTTAAGAATATTCCTCCTTGGTCCCCCAGGTTTGTGGAAGGGGAACAAAATGGCAGATGCTCATTCAGAACAGGATGTGTATCTTTGAGGGGGCTTGCGGGGGGGGGGGGGTTAGCACCACCATGTGTGTCAGTCTGTTGCCACGAACTCAAGGCATACAGTAGTTACTCAAGTTTTACAAGATTGATTTAGAATCTTTATCACCGTAGCCATTGCACTACCAGAACTCAGAGCTTATCAACCCATTTCTCTAAGGCTCCTTTTTAAAAGCCGTGACCTACTTAAAAAGTAGAAGAAGAAGTGTACCAAATCAAAGGAGAGGAAGTGCTAAGCAAATGCAGTCACCAAAAAAGGGTGCTAAGGGCCACGTGCCGCCGTCCCACTCAGTTCCTTTGTGGTCCTCTGCTGAGCACACGCCAGAGCAGTTCCCCACAGCGGGTGAGGCTGGAGCATCCTAGGGGCCATGGAGGAGCTGGGTGAGTGAGCAGCTGCTCTTTGGCGGCGAAACGGAGGGTACACAGCAGCAGCTACCACCTGGCTGCGTGGTGGGTAGGGTGGATGGAGGCTTGGCAGCAGGTTTTAATTTCACTTTTGTCCTCAGTTCAGGCAGGAGGGAACTGAGGAACTCGGACTGTTGAGGAACGTTGTGGGTTCACGGTTGGCAGTGATAAGCAGAGAATTCAGTGTTGACCACAGGATACCTTTGAACTGCAGCATTTCACAATCTTTTTTGGTTTTTTTCGAAGTTGACATTTTCCTGTGGCTTTTTCCTCCAGGAGGGCTCCTGGAGATCATTGTTTGGCCTCACAGCCAGGCAATTGCAGAGTTGTGGAACATGGGTGGAAAAATTAAAAAAAAAAAAAGAATCAGGAGTTGGCAAAAAATGTTAGGAGAAGAAACGGAAGAGACATGCACGAATGAGGGTTCTGCAGAATTTGGAGAAAGGTGGTTTACATTTTTCTGTGACTTGGTGTTCAATCAAGACAGTGTAGAACTCCAGTGATTTTTGTGGCTGAGCTTTTTATTCAGAGAAAATCTGAATGTTCCTTCGGATTACCGTGACATGAAAATGTTGCTTCCTTCTGCTTCAAGGCAAGTAAAAGCAGCTGCGGAGCCATGACCATGATTTCAGACCTTTGGGGCCATGGCAGGTCTGTCGGTGTTGGAACTCAGTCCCTAGCCTTGGCCAGCCTTCATTTCTGCCCTTCTCACCATACAGCAGGAAGTAACTCACCTGTACCCAGTGCCCGTCCAAGCTGTGGCGATTCCACAAACACCATAAATGCCACATCTTATATTTTGACTTTTAAAAAATTGGGATTTGAGAGCAGAAGAAACAGCGGAAGCAGCAAAGGCAGATAACTGGAGTGAAGAGCTGTTAAGATGAAAAGGAGGCGCTTAGCTGTTGAGGAGGTAAAGTCCACCTACCACTGTATTGGTGCTGGGCAGGCTGACTGTAGACTGGAGTAGAGTCCAGACTCTTGTTCTGTGAGAGTTTTGAGAGAATTGGAATTCCTCTCTTGGGTTCTATTGGAGTGCACAGTTGTTTCTATAAAGATACCTAATTTTATGCAGACAATTTAAAAAGGGAACTAAGATTTATTCAATGACTTGGGCTAAAACTAGACATTTGTACGTATTGTGATCATTTCCATATTTGCAGCAACCATCTGAAATAAATTCAGTATTACTCCTAGGAACACCAAAATCAATCAAGCCATGAGATGTTCTTTCTTTCTTTATTTTATTTGAGAGACATGGAGGGATAGAGCCTCCGTCTTCTGCTTCGTTTCCCAAGCTCGAGCCAGGTGTCCGACGTGGTGGCAGGGACGCAGCTCATTGAGCAGTCACTTCCTGGTTGCCAGTGCACTTCAGCCGAAGGCTGGAATTGCAGGAGCTGGGCTGGGACGGGCTCCCAGGCTCTCTGACACGGAGACTGCTGTCCCAGTGGAGGCTTAGCCACTAGGCCCAAAGGCTGCCCTCTCTTTTGTTTTGGAAGTGTTGTCATTTCAAAAGTTTTGATCCATGTAATAGCCCAGATTTTAAAATTTGTGCTGTTTTGCATTTCCTGAGCAGCATGGGTGGTGAAGGAATCTTGTCCAGCCCTGTAGAAAGTAGGAAGTGTTGTGGAAACTTGCATGTGTGTAGGTTATTACAGTTAGGCACGTCTTAGCATGCTGCTGGTGGCTTCACGCCAGCGGTTCCTTCCGATGGGCAGCAGCCCAGCTGATGCGTGTGTGCTCCCAGCCTGCAGGGGACTAATGTCCCGGACCTGTTAGATCAGGGGAGCAAATATTTCCTGTCTGCAGTTCAGGCTTAGAGCTTGGCCACTTGTGCCTCTCTGTGCGGTACCCAGAGATGATAGGTAGAAGGAGGCAGGAGCAGTGCCCAGCTCCCAGTCATCACAGCATGTGGAGATCGCCCCGCACCCCAAGAAACCTCACTTGATTTTTCTCGTGTTCATACATATCACTTGATTTCCACAAGTAGGAGATTATACAATGATTTTTAGGGTTTTTGGATGAGTACTTCCCTTTCTCCTGCCAGCCCCACCCCCATTGTAATCTTGGATTTGTCATACTGAAATTAGTTATCCTCAAACAGCAGAATCTGGCCAAAGGCCTGATCTTGGGGTGTTAGTGATATGTACACTCAGGAAGCAGGAAGAAGGCGGATCAGAAGGAGAACTTGGGTCGTTTTGCTTAGCTGGTGCTTGCAGGGTAACTTCCCTGCGCTCAGGGCCCTGCTCTCCCTGCCCCTGTAAGCTCTGTGCAAATTGTTACGAACAATTTACAAAGATTCGGGAGGATCTTTGACTTTCTGTTTAGAGCAAAGTTTAGAAAATAGGAAAGAGGCTCAATCTCTTTTAAAAAGATTTGTTTGTTTTTATTGAAAAAGCAGCTACAGAGGGAGAAGGAGAGACAGAGATCCACCTGCTGATTTGTTCCCCAAATGGCCATAATGTCCGGAACTGGGCCTATCCAAAGCCAGGAGTCGGGAACTTCTTCCGGGTCTCCCATGTAGGTGCAGGGAGCCCCATGACTTGTACCTTCTGCTACTTTTCTTGGCCAAAAGGGAAGAGTTGGATTGCAAGTGGAGCAGCCAGACCTGTGCCTTTATGGGATGCTGGTGCCTGCTATGCCACTGTGCCGACCCTTTTCATTTTAAAAATTGCTTATCAAAGAGAATTTTAATATATAAAAAGGGAAAATAGTTCAATGAAATCATATATTCCCTTCAAACGTTGAACAATCAACTTTTTTATCAGTCTTAATTCGTGTGATTACCACCCTTGTCCTCTATACTTTATTGTTTAAAATTGCAGATCTTGCATGATTTCATTATAAATGTTTTATCATTAATCTATAAAACATATACAAGTCACCAAAATACCTTTATAATACCATAGCAGCCATGAGTATCTCAATATTGTGAAACAATGCTAGCATATCTAAAAAAAAATGAAAAATACTTAGTATTGTCAAGTATCTAAAACAAATAGATAATGCTTGATTTTTTAAAAAGTGTAGTCATTAAATAAGATTGATAGGTTGAAATTATGCCTCTTAAGTGTCTGAAAATGTAGATTCCCTTTTCTTCTTTTTTTATCCCACCACAATTTATTGTGTTTTTTCCTATGTATTTTTTAAAGATTTATTTTATTTTTATTGGAAAGTCAGATATACAGAAAGGAGGAGAGACAGAGAGAAAGATCTTTTGTCTGATAACTCACTCCCCAAGCACTGCAACGACTGGTGCTGTGCTGATCTGAAGCCAAGAGGCAGGAACTTCTAGGTCTCCCACTCGGGCGCAGAGTCCCAAGACTTTGGGCTGTCCTTGACTGCTTTCCCAGGCCACAAGCAGGGAGCTGAATGGGAAGTGGAGCTGCTGGGATTAGAACCAGCTCCCATATAGGATCCTGGCGGGTTCAAGGCGAGGACTTTAGCTGCTAGGTCACGCTGCCGGACCTGACCACAATTTATTCTTGAGAAATAGGCCCAAGTCTATGGCCATACTACGCGGACCGCACCGGATCTTGTCTGATCTCGAAAGCTAAGCAGGGTCAGGCCTAGTTAGTACTTGCTTGGGAGAGAAATAGGCCTGAACAGTTTAGCTAAGATCTCAAAAATGGGACAGAGAAGTCAGCATTTTTCTAAGATGTAAGACTGAGAAAAGTCTAAGGAAGATGTCATTTATAACAAATAGATATTTCTTTGTACCATCTGGTATTCGGAAGCAGATGTTCGAGTAGCAGTTGACACACCACTTTGAATGCCCACGTCCCACGTCAGAGGGCCTGACTTCTAGGCCTGGCTGCACTCTGATTTCCGTTCCTGGGTCCTAGGCACTCTGGGTAGGTGATGCCTCCGGTTGATGAGTCAGTTCTGCACACCCACAAGACTCGCGTGGAGTCCCAGCTCGGGACTCAGGCCTGGCCAGCCCTGGCTGGTGTGGACGTGTGGGCAGTGAACCAGCAGACGGGAGCTCTTTTTTCTGTTTGTATGCCTTTACAATAGAATAGAAATATCCGTTCCTCCCCAAATGATAAGTAGATGAAAGTCTGCTGTTTTTGTTTTTGATGGTCTATAAAGTTCATTTCCTTACAGAGAAATTCAGAACTAGACAGGCCCTTGCAAACAACCTAAGCCAGTTTTTCAAACTTAAAAACTAACCTGTGATAAGAAATTCACTAGAGATCCACTGATGGAGTACCATTTGAAAAATGCTGTTCCGATGCAGTTACTTCCTCACATAGGTGAAGGGACAGCTGCAGGGTAGATGTCGTGTTCTTGATCACCCAGGGGGTTCTTGGGAAATGAGGACTGGAGCTGCTAGCTTGACGCACAGAGGCTAGCGACAAGATAACCCCAGCGCAAGTCCGGGCTGTGGATTCATGAACACAGGCACGCTATTGTCTCTTTCTTGACCTACAAAATGAGTAGAAATAATACCATCCTTTCTGAGGTATTAGAATGATCCAATGAAGTATATAAAGTGGAACTGCTATCATATGATAATTTTTATTGATTATTCACATCCCCAGTAATTTCATCACAACAAGAAAGGTACAGAATAATACTTCTGAAGTCAATTTGCTTTATCCTCAAACTGTCAGAGTAATAAACCCCAACTATTTTGATTGTGTCACTGTTTATTTTGTATTATCTCAGCTTTCAGTTTTTTCTTCTCAGGCTCTTTTCCCTTCCGCATCTCAAAAGGTTAAAAGAAAAAAAAAAGAAAGTTTACACTTTGCTTTATAATGTACTTGGGATAAAAACATAATCAAGATAAAAATGTAATCAGGATAAAGAATAATCACTAAGATAAAGAATTTTCCTGGCATACTTTGGAAAACAGTAATATTTTTTTTCTAATAGGAAAAATACTGAGATTTTTTTTCTTGGAGATCTTTGTGAGTTATCTTCCTTTAATGAGTAATAAAAATTAATGCCTTCAATATTAATGCTCTAGAGCATTCCTGAAACTGAAAGGAGAAATTGCGATGGAAACCCTAAAGCTGGGTCTTCCCACCCAACACGCAGCATGTCAGTTACTGCCACTGAGGTGGTACAAAGGTCACAGCCAGCAGCTGGGGACCTAGTGCTTAACTCCAGGGCTCTTTGAGGAGTCAGGAATGAGGGTCCTTCCGTACTGAAGTTGTTTGAGAGGTGTGTGTGTCTCTAGCTCTCATTCAGGTCCCCGGTGGTTCTGCATGCTCATTGCTCTCCTTCCAGTGGTCAGCAATGTAATGTGTTTGGGGATTTTTTTGATGGCATAGCAGACTCTAGTCAGGGGGCAGTTCCTTTTTCCTTGGAACCTCTGGTTCCTGGAAAAGAAAGCTCTCAAGACGAGTCTGAACATCAAAATGTCTTCTACGGGGAAAGCAGAAGACCTTATGAGTCTTCTAACCAAAGACCTGTGAGGCTGGCTGTGCCACTCGCTCAAATCAATGAATGAATTTTAGAGGTTGATTTGCAATCCTGTGAGTCGGGCACAGAAACTAATAGAGGAAGGTTGGGAGGCTGGGGGAGAACCTCAGAGAAAGACATTGTATGGGCATCTGATTTCAAGAGGAAGACTATGAAATTGAATGCAACTATACAAAATAATGAACAAGCTGCACTATGTGGAGAGGTTAAGTGTCTCCTGGTAGAATAAAGCAAAGTCTTAGAGTGAAATGGGAGTAAGAGAAGGTATTTAAAGTAGTTTTATCCAGGAAGAGAGATGAATGGTGACACATGGGGCTGGAATGCTTAATATTTTAGGGGAAAATGGTTCCAGAGACTCGCATGTTCTGTTTTATGATTCATTTGTTTCTTATGACAAAGATGCCTTGTTGGAGGAACTGGAACGCTCCACCCTGCAGGATAGCGATGAATATTCCAGTTCTACTTCTCTTCCGCTGGATCAGCCTTCCAGAAAGGAGGATAACCAAGCAGAAACTTCAACCACACCTGCTGCCGAGGACAGCACCAGGCCCTTGCTGGTAAACTTTTCATTTTTTATTGACTCTTAAGTGTAGAGCTCTGAGTACATTTCTGAAAACCAATTGTACCCAGTATAAAATGATTTGAAAGGAGTCATTCATACCAAGAAAAAGAGAAAATAACCCCTCAGTATTAAAGACTTGGTGTGCATATGTGAATGCTTCGCTCTGGGTTGTTTCGTTAGTTTGAACAGCAGAAACTTTTCTCACCATTCTCTAACAGTCCAGGGCCAAGATGGGGATAATTTGGGTGTTGGTGTCAGGACAGAGCAGGTCTGGTTTGCCCCGGGGCCTCTTTCCTTGGCTTGCAAATAAGGCCTTCTCACTGGATCCTGGTATTTTGAAGCTTTCTGTATCTTTGAGCATTTGAGATCTAGTTTTGTAATGAGGAAGAGACTTGAGAGGATCACCACTGAAGAATGCGTATGAGAACTGTGTGGTCCCCTGCACTCCCTGTGGTGACCTGTTAGCAGGCTGGGCATTGCCTGTGTCACTTGGAATATTCCACTGTTACCATCCAGCCATCAAAGCTACCTATTGCACTTTGACTAGAATGGCACTCAGGCCAGGACTGCTTAGGGGAAGGCCTGGTGCCAGGCTAAACAGGTCTTTTCTGCTGAACAGATTATGGAATTCAGTTTTTATTTATCTGGAGATGATTTGGCTTTTCAGAACCAATGCTAAGTAAACTCACTAAAAATATGATGTATCTGTATATATATATATATATAATAGAAACAAAAACATTTCGCTTAGTTTATGGGTTAGGGTTAAAACTGTCAAGTTATTGTGTTTGCTGGTACTTGTATCTTCATCCTATGGGGAAATTTATGCAAACTTGCATTATAAGTTGAGGTTTGCTTGTTAACGATGGGTAGTGTAAGAGGAATTAAGTAGCTGCTGTTCTTGAAATATGATACCCTGACTCATTCTTGTCTACTGTGTGGAACAGCCAGTATCACAGACCTGAAACTTGTACTTATGGATAGAAGCCTCCCCTGTTCTTCTCTCTAGATGTTTCTGTTAAGGAGCTGTTGTCTTCATTTGCGTTATTGGGTCACAGCCAAAGGCTTCTGTTCTTTTGTCCTTGCCTCCATGCAATCTAAAGAGTGATCCTTTAAAAACTCAAGCTGGTTGATGCTATTAAAAATATTTCTAACAGCTTTATTATCATGCTTGTTAAGGCAGAGCAGCCAGTATGGAGACTGGCGCAAGAGATTTCCCATCTACTGCGTCATTTTTCAAATCCCCGTAACAGCCTGGGCTGGACTAGCCCAAGGCAAGGATCCCGGCCTTCCGTTTTGGATCCTCCATGTGGATGAAAACTTGAGCCACCACCTCCTGCTTCACAAGATGCATTAGCAGCAACGCACGGAGGGTCTCTCTGTCTCTCCTCCTCTCTGTATGCCTGATTTTCCAATAAAAATAAATAAATTTTAAAATAAAAAAAGAAATGCATTAGCAGGCCACTGGACCAGATAAGCAGAGTAGGGAGGACTCAGGCCGCATTCCTAGATGGAAACTTAATCCACTGAGCCACAGTATTCACTCTCCTGCAGTTTTTAAAATTCAGTACCCCACAGTGACTTCCCATTTCATCTGAAATGAAAACTGCTGCCTTTACACTGACTCTTTTGGGGTTAACATAATGAAGACACCAGGTGCTTCATGAAAAATTCGCACTACCATTTTTAAAAAGTTTTATTTATATTTATTGGAAAGGGAGATCAGACTTAAGGAGGGAAGGAGACATGGAGGGAAAGACCTTCCATCTGCTGGTCTACTCCCCGAATGGCCACCCTGGCTGTTCCATTTCCCATCCAGCTCCCTGCTTATGGTCTGCACTACCATTTTTTAACATGTAAGAGAGCGCGAAAGAGCACCCAATGCTCTGCTTCACTCCTCAGATGCCCGCATTGGCCTGGGCAAGGCTCTAGCTACCCTAGTCATCATCAGCTGCCTTCTAGGGACCACGTTAACAAGAACCGGAGTCAGGAGTGGAGCTCAGACTGGAACTAGAACTCTGTATGTGACATGGGACACAAGGTCAACTCTCAGGCCAGGTATACACTTCTGTGTTATCTTTTTTTTTAAGGAAAAAAAGATTTATTTTTATTAAAGGCAGATATATAGATAGGAGGAGAGACAGAGAAGATCTTCCATTCACTGGTTCACTCCTCAAATGGCTGCATCTGCCAGAGCTGAGCCAATCCGAAGCCAGGAGCCAGGAGCTTCTTTTAGGTCTCCCATTTGGGTGCAGGGTCCCAAGGCTTTGGACCGTTCCCGACTGCTTTCCCAGGCCACAGGCAGGGAGCTGGATGGGAAGTGGAGCTGCCGGAATTAGAATTTGCGCCCATATGGGTTCCTGGTGCATTCAAGATGAGAACTTTAGCCACTAGGCTACCGTACCAGGCTCCAATGTTATCTTTAATTTTATTTTCCATTAACGTTTTGAAGCACCCTCACATGTCCTAGTTTACCTAAAGACGACTTGATTTTTGCATGCTTTTCTGACATTCTAATTACTTTACTATTAACAGGCATTTTTTTCTTTTAAGTTCTCTTGCTATTTTGCAGACTTGCTTTTATCTTCTTCCCTCTTCCATAATCTTACTAATTGTGTGAAAAACACATATGCAGTGATCCGAGTTCTTTCTTTAATGTGACTCATGATAACGTAGAGAAATGATAAAGGAAATCCTAACGAGCCAGCGTCCCTCCAAGGAGAACATGCAGACTGCTGGATGGAGAAACTTAAAACTGGTGTGCAGGAAGTCAGAAGTAATTAATTTCTGTGGTCTCAGGTGGTGCAGGAAAATTGTTGTGTCTTTTCTGTTGTGGGTCAGTTGGTGTCCCAGCATTTATCCCTCGCCGTGGCGTCTGTAGTCATCTATGAGATGCAGAGTCTCCTCAGGGCCCGAGAGAAGCACGGGAAGTTATGCTGTGATGTTTTGCCTATCACGTTTGGGAAGTAAAGAGTAGGCATTCTCGCTGCGGGCATAATATAATCAATGTTCTTGTTAAAGGGTTTGGAGATTATTTGTATATATAGAGCTCTGTTTACTTAGTAACAATTTAAAAAAATTTTACAATAAACCCTTTCAGCAGTTTGCTCAAAAACGAGCCAAGACTGAAACTACTTGTTCAGTTTTGTTAAAGTTGATGATGATTGTGTAACTTGCATAAAATATACTTGTCAACAACTAGCATCTACCACAGAGATGAGTGGAGGTATCACCATCCCTTTGCAAACCCAGAAGACAATTACAGTAAAGAAGCGTTGGCATCTACCTGAGAAGTCAGTGCAGAGTTTAAGAAGGACGTGTCAGAAAAGGACACTCGGACACGGGCAGCTCTTAATGGGGGTCTCCGTCCCGTTGTGGAGGACACCTTGCTTTGCTATCAGATACCTTTCCTAAAGCCATTGGGCACATTTTCAATTTAGTGAGTTGATTCCCTGGGCAAATTGTCAAGTAGCGTCCTTTTTGTATCAGTGCAACAGAAGCTTCGATTAGAGAATCTGTTCACTCCAGATTGATTCCCATTTCTTTGATTTAATTGAAAGAATCAAAATCAAACGTTTGGCAGTTCACTCTCCAGCTAAAAAGTGAAACATCTCATGTTAATGTCATTGCAAATTTAGTTGTAAAGTTTATTACTGAAGATAAAAGGTTCGTTTTTGTGGTGAGAAGATGAATGCAAATGTTGGTGGAGCACAGGATTGTGGTAATAGCAGCTTCAAAACCCGAGAAATAGAAACACGCTTGGTACTCGCTGTGATGAGACAGAATTCACGACTGCGCCTGAACAAACCACAGTCTGGCCAATCAACATACAGCAACCACAGTTATGAAAACTTGCAAATGTTATACAGAGTGTATAAGTAACCGATCTGTAAACTTTGGTGGCTTAAATAAGTATCCAACAGAAAGAAAGATTTCAGCACTGCTGTGTGTCTTTTCTCTCCGTGCTGCCTGTCATTGGTTGCATTTTGCAAATGCCTGTGAGCTTTGGAGAAGTCACTGTAAAGTCATCCAAATTTAGGTTATTATCCAGAAGTAAATGGAAGTCTTGAATCAAATCACTGAAAAAATGTAGCAGGAAAGTCCAGCTTTTGAGACATTCAGCAAGCTGCAGGTTTCTAAAGTAGACCTTGCAAAAAAGGAGGCGGTTCAGATTTCTCCCTGCAGAAGCTGAGAAGACATTGAATCAATCAAGACGAGGGGTCGTATGTTTTCATTACTTAATTTGGAAGTTGTATTTCAGGAAAATCTTGACTTTGATGGTTTTTTGACTCCTAATCTTAAATGGAAAAATTTGTATCCTTCACTAAATAGAATGAAATTGTGAAAGTCTTGTGATTTTGAAGCATCTGTATTTAGCAAAATATTAAAAACCATTATAAACAGAGACAGTGTGGAAGTTTTATAGGAATATTATTGAGGAACGGAGGAGGCAGGAAGGCAGCTGTTGTGTAAACAGCTGTCTGAACTACTCACCCACTCTAAAATAAAAATAGGGTTGAGACTATTCTCCATTTAGCAGGATTTGCTGCGAACTTAGAGGTTCATTGATTTCTAGAACAAGATCATTTTCTCAAGAACTGTAGAGCAGCATCAAAGAACAAACATCTTCAGATATCTTAATCATAAAACACAACTTTGAAGAAACTTGTAGTTTTATGAAAATGACCCCATTTTTTATTCATAAAGGAAAGATATTTATTATTTCTGAATTATTTTTATTTTTGATGATTTTTACATAGTTGATTAGGATGATTAGGGTCAAGGGCTACAGGAAGATGGGTAAGATCAGCATTTTCACATTCTCTTTTTTCCTTCCTGTATGGGGGTGGAGGGGAGAGACAAGGAGAGAAGCCACACCCAGCCTCCCAAACACTTCTGCACCTTGGGAGGGAGGACAGCTACCTGACATCACCTCAGGATCTCTGATGTAGGGCATGCTTTGAGGGTCCTGCTCACGAGATTTTCATAATTCAACAGTTCTGATTTACTGCTGATCTCGACACTCTAAGCATAATGAAATCTCTCCAGAATCCACTGGTTGACATAGTCTACCTTAGAGTCTCCATTTGCCTACTTATTCACTGCCAACACTTGGCTGGGGTAGTTGGTCCATTTGTTCTGTCCTCTGTTGTGGTTTCAGATATCCTCTGCAGACTCCATTGTACTGCCATATCCTCCAGTGCACCTGGATATGCTGTTAACTGCTCTGTCTGAGCAACTGAGGAGGCTCAGCTCTGACACATGTGTTCCATGATCAGACCATGGCAATTCCCTCCATGGTTGGGGTTCTGAGTCCAGCAATTCAGCTGGGGGCATCCCCATAGAGACTTCATCTGAGGTGATCCCAGACCTGATTCTTGTGTGTGTACCAATATGGTGTCTGGCACAGTCTCATAGTCTGTCATCCTAATCAGCTTATGCATATGTTGGTGGTTGTAACTGCTGGGTCAGTTCTGTCACTAGTCCAGTCTTATACACAAACTAATGGGTGTTATAGCCCAGTCCAGTCATGCCCACCACACACTCAGTCTTCATGTACACTAGCGGGAGCTGCAGCCTAGATCTTCTGGTCTTTCTCCTCCAAGCCACCAGGTCTCAGTCCCCTCAGTTAGTTGCTAGTACAGCGGCCCTGCTGTTGAGTATCCCTCAGGATTCATTCTTCACCTGCATGTACTGTGTCCTTATCCATGGATATCCCTAGGCAGTAATTCTAGAACCCCAAGATCCCCAAGCTTATTACTGGGCAGCCAGCGGGCGAAGCTCATAAGCTCAGGATTCATCACTGCTTGGCTTGATGGACTGGGAGCTAGGATCCCTAGCAGGAAGCCTGGCACAGGTTCTCACAGCCATATGGGCGATTCGGACACCTGCACCTCTGAGCAGACTTACCTGGACTCTGCCCACCAACATGGTGGCAGTGGGTGGAGCCATGATCCTGAGCATGCCCAGAGCTGTCCCCGATTCTGCCCACAGCATGATGGCTGTGGAGGAGAAAATTCTCTGACCTTGAGCTTGGACAAGCCCAGGATTCATCCACACTTTGGCAGCAGTGGATGGGGAGCTAGGATCCCCACTAGAAAGCCTGGCTCAGCACAGCTTCTCCCAGCCACAGGCACGTGACTGGGAGGTTCAGGCACTCACATCTCTAAGCAGACTTACCTGGATTCCCAACACCGTATTTTGAAACATATTTTCCAGAAAGTTTTCCACGTCACAGTGCTCGAGGCAGCAATGGCAAATAAAATAAAAGTTGATTTTATTGAAATAGCTTGAAGGAAGAATAGTGTTCATGAGAGCGGGGAAAGAGAAAGGGAGGTTAGATAATGGCAGGCAGAGCACTACTTTTTGGAGAAGTCAGCCCCATGTTTCCCAGCATAGTAAGGTGGCTGTACTTCACACAAACTCTCGCAGATTTTATAAAGAAGGAGAAGATAGGAGCTCAAAGGTTCTCAATACCAAGAAATGCAAAATGTCTGAGGAGCTGGCAGTGCCAAATTGCCTCACTTTGAGCATCACACTTAAATACATGCACCTACTTATTCACACTAACCCATAAAAACGTGCAAATAGCGTGAGTAGGAAATAAAGTATATTTTAAAAATGATTAACTAACCGATTTGGGTACATAATTATAGAAGAATGATTTATTTGTCTGATATTCAGATTTTCTCATAGCCAATATGACTGTTCTTTAAAAAATTGCTTGAATGTTCATGGGCACATGTCATTCAAAACATTTTAGAATATTGGGAAATAAGCTTCTAATAGAATTGTTTCACAGGCATAGCATATATTAAAATCACATTTTTGATCACTAAATATTATGTTTTAAAAATACGAGCGGGAGTTTGGTGTCGTAGTTAAGATGCCTCTGGATAGCTAAGTCCACTTCCTGGTTCTGGTTCCTATTCCACTTCCCACTGATGTGCATCCTGTCAGGAAGCAGGTGCTGGGCCACATAGTTGGGTCCCTGCTGCTTCTAGAGGAGCTCTGGATTGAATCCTCAGTTCCTAGTCTCAGTCAACCCGAGCATTTGGCAAGTGAATGACCAGAATGGGCAGAATAAACTGAAATTATGTAGTAGGAATTATTTTTACAGCCCCTTTTCACTTTAGAAAGTGACCCAATAAACCGTACACTGTGTGGACATGTTCGCTCTGTTCAGGCTGTATACTTTGTTCCACAGATCCTGCAGCGTGCTTTCCTGCCTGTTCTTCCATCTGGACCGTGTTTCTCCAGGCTGTCTGTTTACTCCCCTCACTCCAGTGTCTTAATCAATAGAAGAGTATTTTCCCTGCTCTCCCCCACTTCTCATCTCCTGCCCATGATTAATTTTTCATATTGATTTGTCTATGACCTATATCTTGCCACCAGATTGTAAACTCTCAGGCAGACAGTCTTTATTTGATTGTTTTGGTTTGCTTTTCGAGTGTCACATTGCCAGATGACAGGTGCACAGTAAATATGCTTTCCATAAATAAGTGGATGAATGGCCAAGTACCCTGTAGATCCACACATTGTCTCTCTTTAAATGTGGCGTTGTTCACAGTACAATCAGCTGGGTGAGGGACTTTTCCTGACCCATTTTGTTTGTTTTCTGGTTTCTATGTGAGAATGGGCCACTTCTCTGTTTCAATGCCTTTTAGGCAGAGAAGGGTTACTCGTATTTGGCTACTGTGTTGAGGTTTGAACTTCCCGTCTGGCAGTTCCTCTGCATTAGAAAGGAGGAGATCTCAGAGATATGCCAATATTGGTCCCTTTTAGAAGTTAAAAATAACTTCTAGCTCTAGGTAGCTAAAAACACCCATATTGTAGTAACCAAAATTCATTCCTTGTTCTGTTCTCTTTTATTTATTAGGCGCAGCTCGTGTATATCACCAATATGCAGGACCGCAATGTCTACAGGTATTTTTAAAGTTAACTGCTTTTACAAATTGAGCGTATGAAATAATTATTATCAATCCGTCGGCAATCATTTGCTGTGTGTTTGCTATTAGTTTTGACATCCTTTTTCATGATCCAGTTTTTGAGCAGAGTTGGAATTCTGATAAGCAAACTGCAGCTTCTCAGTGTACCTGGATTCCAGTGGGGTTGTTTAGGCTGGTGGGCCCTGCTGTTCCTTTGTCACCTGAAACAGCATCAGTAGGCCCCAGAATCATTACTGCTGCATTGGCCTGACTATTTCCGGATGCACACCCTGGTTCACAGAAGGGAAAACCCATATGAAAAAACTGAAGCAAAATTCCAGCAGTATCGGCGCTGTGATCAGTCAGGCTAACCAAGGCCGTGGGCGCCCATCACGGTTTATAGACTTTTCACATTTGCTCACAGGTCATGAAGTGGGTGGAGGTATTTTTTTTTTTCCACTAACATTTCACTCAGTAAAATCAGGCAGTCCCAAAAGGACAGGTACTATGTGTTCTTGCTGCTATCAGGTAGCCATCGTGCAACATACGAAGCAAATCTTTATAAAGGTGAGCAAGCATATACATATATTTTCTCAGACTAACTGGATGATGGGGACTAGCATACTGGGAAGTGAAGATATGTTGTAGTATGCATCCCTACCCCCAATGAAACCGTTAACTATACCTTGGCAATAGGACACCATTACATATACCTACCATGAACAGCAGAATGTCGGACTTGTGACTGTTGTTGGAGAGCTATCCTAGTGTCATAATATGGGGACAATGGTGGTGGTGGAGGGAGGGAAACTGGGAAGGGAGTCCTTATACCTACAAAACTATATTATGGGAATAATAACAATAAAAAAATTACATGTTGGAACAGAATTATTTGCTAAATTATATATTTTTTCCTGGCCAAAGCAGAGTAGACAGACTGAAAAAAGTGAAAAGGTTATTTTTTGTGTTTCTTCAGCTATAGGTTGCAGTTATTATCATTTTTTTTAAAAAAACAGAACAGCATACTGGGAAGCCAGTGAAGGGGCTTAAAGCACAGATCGTAAAGGGCATGCTTAGTAAAAAGTGCTACACCATACCTTATTTGGTTTCAGAACTGCAGGCAACAGTGCACACACAGGACAAAGGAAAAAAAAAATACTCTGGTGCTATCAGCAGTGTTTCTAGAACCTTCTCCTCGGAGCACTTTCTGTTTTGGTAGAAGCTGACTATTTACGGATGTGAACTCCAGTTCATTCCAGTTGTAGGAAGTTACCCAGTGAGCATCCATCCTGCTCTCTGTTCTTTCCGCTCCCAGCCCTGGGAAAAAACGCAAAACAAGCCAGACAACATCAGGCCTGGCATAAAACAGGCTCTTAGTAACCGTTTGTTTTCTTCAAGCTTAGAACACAAAGGCTTCAATAGAAATACAAATTAATATCAGAACATACAGTAAGGGGAAAAAAAGCAGTCCAGACAAGGGTAGTTTCACTGTACATCTGGCTTTGAGATTTATTTGTGAAATCCAGGTGTTCACTTGCTGGCACCCACTTCCTTGTAGTATGAGGCTGTAGCTTGTTTCTCTTCACTTCCTCTTCCTTCTCTTGCGCTCCACACCTGGGGAGCTGATTCTGCAGGTTGGATGTTACAAGGCCCTGGGCCAGTCAGCGCCCTTTGGCCATGACCAGTGGGAGACGCTGTGCAGAGACAGGAGGGTGCAAAGCAGGAAATCTAGGGCATTTCCCCCCAGTTCTCTTTTTTCTAAGCCGTCTGTAGATAGCTACCCCTTGTTAGCTTCAATGACACATCTGCTTTAGTTTCAGCTTTCCACTCTTTGACAAGGGTCCATAGTACGACTCTCAGAGGCAGTGGTGATGGCTTGAGTAAGTTGGATACCTGCCACCTACGTGGGAGGCTTGGATTGAGTTCCTAGCCCCTGACTTAGCCAGCCCCATCCCAGCCTGTACACCTGGGGAGTGATTCAGTGAGTGGGCTCCCTCTAATAAAAAGTCAAAATAAAAATAAATATGTACTATACCAATACAGATTCCCAAGCCTGGTATAATTCCACATAATATAAGATGTGGTCTTATATTCTCTATGATTTACTTTTTAGAATTTATCAAGTTTTATTTTATATCCTCACATAATTAAATTTCATTAATGATTATCAGGGACTTGAATAGAATCCGTATTTTGTTAGGCATAGAGTTTTATAGATTTGTCATGTATATATATATGAATAGGAAATTATAGTCATATGCATTATATGAACTTTGTATACCAAGAATTTTTTTTTTCTAGAAAAGGCCAGATAATAAATACGTTAGACTTGGTGGACCATAAGGTCTATGCAACAACTACTGACGTCTATAGGAACGCAGTTGTAGGGATTAGGTAGATGACTGGACATGGCCATATCTGGCCCATGGGCCTTAGTTTGTTGATGCCCGTTCTATCTTCTCATTTATTTTTTGTTTGATGTTTGACAATAACTGAAAGGAGTTAGAATACTTTATGACTTAACTTCTTTTTTTGAAGATTTATCTTTTTTTGGGGGGGTGGGGAAGTCAGATATGAAGAGAGAAGGAGAGACAAAGATTTTCCGTCCACTGATCACTCCACAAGTGGCTGCAATACCCAGAGCTAAGCTAATGTGAAGCCAAGAGCCAGGAGCCTCTTCTAGGTCTCCCATTCGGGTGCAGGGTCCCAAGGCTTTGGGCCATCCTCAACTACTTTCCACAAGCAGGGAGCTGGATGGGAAGCAGGGCCGCCGGGATTAGAACTGGTGCCCATATGGGATCTTAGCACATGCAAGGCGAAAGCTTTAGCTGCTAAGCTGGGCCTTAGGACTTAATGTCTTAAAAATAGTTTTTATTTTATTTCTAATATTGTTTCCATAGTTGAGAGGGATGCATGCCCGTGTGGTCCTCTGATCATGGTGGGGAGGGTAGAGCTATGGAGGAAGGTGGGTGAAATGTTTTTATTTTCCCCTCCCGAGTCTGCAGGGTAGAGGGAAGTGGGGGACTTTACTATCAAACCACATCAGTTCCCTGAAATAGAGATGGTTATTTCATGATGCTCTAGAGACCTTGATGTTGGGGGAAGAATGTTCCAAGGGTGCTGCTTGAGTGGTTTTGATAGTTCTGAGACATTGTCGGCTTTATTTCACCAAGGTTGAGAAAATATTTCTAAGGTCTATTGGCTCACCAGGTCTACTTTGGTGTATCCATAGACCTAGACATTTGCTGCCAAGTGTGGCCAGGAGAGTTGCCTAACTTTTTCTGCTTTCCACCTTTTGGTGAGATACACAACGACCTCTCTTAGCTTAGATGATCTGGCTGTCATCTCTTTTGTGAGCATCTGTGTATGTTTTCTATCACATGAGCATAAGCAAGTGAGGAGGCCCAGTCCTGATACTTGTTGGACCACGTAACTTGTGATTCTCCCCAAGGCCAGGATTTTGAATCCTGGGGTCTAGCTGGGGAGTCCCTGAAGAAGCTTCACATGGGAGTCCTCAGACTTGACTCTTATGTGCTTCACGTAGTGCAGGGTCAGGTTCAGTCTGTCTCCTGCACCAGCCAGTGCACAAACCACTAGAAGCAGGTGCCTAGTCAGTTTTGCTCCCAGCCCCATCTTTCATGCAAACCTATATAGCTGCTGCTTCCTACCCCTTTCCTGGCACAGGTCTGGCTCTTGCACTCAGCATCAGGTGTTGCTGCTTAGTTCTGGTGATCCCAAAACCCCCCACCAGACTCCTCCCCCACCCCAGTTTGTGTGTTGGCAACTGTTACAGCTAGCCCAGCCTGGCTCACCCCAAGCTCCAGCTCTCATGTGAACTGGTGGTTGCTGTGGTCTAGCCCAGCCTGTCTTGCTCCCCATTTGTCTCTTGTATGTTCCATTTGGTGCTGTGGCTTAGTCTATTCTGGCCCACACCCAGCCCACACATGCCGTAGCCTTGCCTGGTTCAGCCTGTCCCCAGTCCCACTCTTGCTCTTACCAGAGGGAGCTGCAATAGCAGGGGAGTTCCCCAAATTCCCCTACTAGGCCCACTCCCATCCCTAGATCTCACGTGGGCTGTGGCTCAGCCCGTCGTGGCATTCTTCAAGCTCAGCTCTTGTGTGAACAGGCGAGTGCTACTGCCTAACCTGGCCCAGCCCCACCCCTTCCAACTCTTGCATATACCAGTGGATGCTATGGCCTGGCCCAGATTGACCCACCTCCACAACCAGCCCACAGACATGCTAACTGATACTGCTTTACCTGGCCCACCCTAAGCCCTAGAATTTGTACTCACCAGCGGGAACTACAGCCTAGTCCCCAAAGTTCCCCTACCAGGCTTGTTCACAGGTCTGATTCTTGTGTCCAGTGAATTCTGCAGCCCAGCCTGGCATAGTCTGCCCCAGTCTTGGCAGTCGCTGGTGGATGCTGCAATCTGGCCTAGCCTGACCTGACTCCATTTCCAGCTCTCATATGAACCAGCAGATGCTGCTATGGCCTAGCCTGACTGTCTCCTACCACTTCCTGGCTCTTGTGTGTGCCAGTGGGTGCTGTGGCTTGGACCATACTGATCTGCCCCCATATCTATCCCACACACATGTTGACTAGTACTGCAGCCTTGTCTGACCTGGCCCATCCCCAACTCTGGCTCTCATGCTCACCAGTAGGAGCTGAAGCCTAGCAGGAGAGTCCCCAGAGTTCCCCTACCAGAACTGTTTCCAGCCCTGGGTTACATGCAAACCAGTGGCTGCTGCAGCCCAGCCTGGTAGGTGGGCCTCCCCAGTCCTGGCCTTGGCTATGACCTAATCCAGCCTGTTTCACTGCTGGACCCAGTTCTTGGGTGCTCTGGTGGCGGTGGCGGTGGCGGTGGCAGTGGCGGTGGTTGCTGCAGCCTTATGCGGTCTGGCCTGCTGCTAGCCACAACTCTTTTGAGTGTCATTGTGTTCTGTGGTTTGTCCTGCTCAGCCCATCACCAATCCCAGCTCTTACAGAGGGTGTTATATTCTAGCAGAGGTGATTCTACAAATCCCCTACAGAATCTGCTCCCAGCCCCAGTTCTCTCATCTAGTGATGGATGCTGCAGCCCAGCCCGATGTGGCCCACCTCCTCCCCCAACACATGCTGGCAGGTGCTGTGGCATACTGTGTGGCTTGCTTCCCAGCCCCAAGCTCTCAGGTTTACTGGTGGGTAGTGGCAGGCGAAGGTACCTAGCCCATCACAGATCTCCTATGTGGGCAGGTACCTTTGCCTGTCCCAGACATGCCCTACAGATTCCCCTTATAAGGTACCCTATACCAGTTCCCCTGAATACATACAAGTGTAGTGGCCTGGTCTGTGGAAACCCCCAGAAATGATTCCACACCTGTCAAACATGCCCTCACTGGCCAATCTGTAGCACCCCCATACCACTGGGGCCAATGTTGCATTAACTTAAAATGCTGTTAAAATCAAACACAGAGCTGTGGTTTCAAAAACTTTTTCGGAGGCTGCTTTGCAGCTGGTAGTTGGGAGTGGACAGCTCATCGCACTGCATGTCCAGTACTTCCCTCTGTGCTTTGGAGGATACTGATGAACTTTTTTGAGATGACTAGGGAGAAATGAATAAAGGATAGAGACACATTGATCAGATTTTCAGTCAGCACCTGTTTTTAAAATACCCTGTGGTTCTACACTCACATCTAAAGAGTTAACTGAACATTGTGTGTCTTCTGGTATTTTGTACGTGGCTTAACATTTGCTTGGGTTTTGATGCATTAGTATGATTCTGTTGTTTTTCCTCTATAGTGAGGTCCAGGAGCCAAAGAAGTCACCTCCACCTGCTAAAACCTCAGCAGCTGCCCAGCTGGACGAGCTCATGGCCCACCTGAGTGCAATGCAGGCCAAGGTGGGTGTAGACACTAGGGATAAAGCCCCTAGCGCACAGGGGACATGAGCTGCTCAGTGCAGAACTCAACGTTTCATTCCTCCTTCTTAAGAATTTTCTAGAGTTGACATTCATTTTCCATACCTAATTTAATATATTGGAAAAAGTCAAGTTTGTGCTACAGTATTATTTGTATACAAAAGATAATATGATAAAAGCCTCTGTACCATTTAAATAATGCAAATATAGTTTTTTTTTCCCCAAAAATATTTAAAGCACGCAAAGGGGATGTGGAGAAGTTATGAAAACATTTTTGAGGTATAAATGGAGTGATTATGGTATCTGAAAGAGTGGGTGAGACTTAGAGAAGAGGGGAGAGGTCCTTTCAGTTGGAGTGGCCTTGAGGACACGGGCATCTTCCTGCTGATGGGCTAGAACTATTGAAGAGACCTGCCCTGGTAAGGCCGAGGAGACTCAGAGAAAGCCCATGCTGAGAGGACATCGGCCTCCTTTTTCTAGCCTGGCAAACTCACGTGGTCTAGCAGGGAGTGGGAATAAGGTAAATGGGCTTAAGACAATCCTACTTTCCTAGATGTGGTTAGAACATCTGACATAGTAAGAAATCATTTTAAGGCAATATATAAATATATGTGTGATTTGGGATGGTGAGAACCTCATCTTTGTGGTTAACCTTGGGATGTCTCATACGCAGACTACTCAGGAGATTTGCTTGCATTATGTTTCCTGACTGATTTTGTATATGCCTTAAACTTAAATTGAAAGGAACTTTGTTTTTGGACTAAGCTATTTGTTCACATTGTACAAAAATAAAAAAAAATTCAGGTTAAGTTTAAATGAATTGTTTCCCTTTAGTCCTGGCTCCCAAATAACCAAATATCTGCCCTCCAGAGATCTTTTTCTTATGTTGCTAGTCAGAAGTATTGCTAATGCACAAGCCAGGTGATGCTGATGTAGATGAGATATTTCAAAAAGACCCTGGGGCAAAGACCTGTAGCCTAGCAGTTAAGGTGCCTGCCATCCCCATCAGAGCAGCTGGGTTGAATTCACAGTCTGGATCTTGCCTCTGGTGTCCTGCTAATGCAGAGCCCAGGAGGAAGTAGCAGTGAGGGCTCCGGGGGGGGGGACCTGGATAAAGTTTCCAGTGTCCACCCGTGGATCTGCCCCAGTGCTATCCACGCTCCAGATGGTGGAATGCTTCTCTCTGTGTATCTCCTCACACCTGCTTCCCTTTCAAATAAATACATTAGTTAATTTTAATATAAATTTGAAGCAGGCAACTAAGGGGTTTCCTAGGTTGCCATATACTAGAGTACCTGGGTCTGAGTGCCTGGGTCTGAGTTTCAAGTTCATTTCCAATCTAGCTTTCTAATAATGAGCACCCTGGGTGGCGACAGGTGATGGCCCAAGTACTTGGGTCCTTGACAGCTATCCGGGGGACCCAAATAGATCTAGTCTCAGCTGTTGCAGACATTAAGGAAGTAAACCAGTAAATGGAAAATTTGTCTGAGTCTCTCTGCTGCTGCTCTACCTTTCAAATAAGTAGAAAACAAAAACTTTTTAAAATGAAAAGTACATTTTGGATAAAAAAAAAAATTGTGAAATCTGTTATCAGAAATGCCCAGTGGGTTCTTTCCTCATTTGTACAGAAATAAAAAGCCAGAATTTTGTTGCAGACAGAAAAGCTTATTTACAAAAGGACCAGGTGAGCAGGGAAGGGAGAGGGAAGGGGAAAAAGAGAAAAGGCGGGAGGTGGGGCGCCTCTCCAAAGAGGAGGGAGAGAGACACTAAAGGTTTGAGGAAGGGTCTTCGGATTTTAAGCATTCCCTGACCCCTCCTTGTCGGGTGGGAACCTACAGGTAAGATGTTCCCCATTGGTGGTCTCTTAATTAGTTAGGAAATGGGTGGGTAATGCTGGTGCCGCCCACCTGAAAGTGTGGGCAAGATCTCAGAAGGCCTGGACAGTCTCAAAATCCATGTATAGTTTCTTTATTACATGATTTTCCAGGAACTTTTAAAAGTCTTATAGAAACATTGTAGCATTTTCCCAGCTGCTTTTCTCAACATCAGTCACCATTTCAGGTCCTTCAGACATTGACCTGTTGAACCTCTTGAAGGTAACTAACATTATATGCTAGAGGAGGAAGGAGATGTTCAGATTATCAAAATTTCTTGAACAGAAATGAGCATTTTAATTGATGAGATAACATGAAATTGTTCTACACAGTCAAAACAGGATAGTCAGAGGCCCCAAAACAGATAGTAACAGGTTGTTTTCAGGAGTTGTAGTGAACTTGGCTGTCTTTAAACAAGGGAGGATTTTAACTGCATAATGAAAAAATGAGATTGGAAAGGTGAAGTGAGGGCAGTGGACTGGAGGTTTTGGGGGTTTGTGTGATTAGACCAAATCTGGGAGCAATGGAGAGGCATTGTAGTTTTCTAACCCAAAAATTATTAGGTAGATGATAGCAAAAAGAGAGCCAGGATCGGCATAAAGGGTGCTGAAGGGCAAGTTAGGCAGATTTTTGATCATCTCTGTATGAATGCTTTTCAACAATTGTTTTAGAATTTCGCGTAAACAAAGGGAGCATGTCGGCAAGTCTCACCTGACTGTTACCCATCACTTCGTCTTGTAACACCTGCCTGGGTCCTTGTGCAGCAGTCTCCCTGTTTCCACTCTGGCTTTCAGCACTTAATCTTTCCTTCCCTATTCCAGGGTTGATACGAACAGTCTGATTGTTTTGACTCTCTTGCTTGGAATCCTTTCATGGTTCCCATCACCGTGGAGTAAAACCCAAGTGTTTTCCAGAGGGGCGCTGTGTGCTGTGGTCTTGGCTTCTCTATGAGTCGTCTGCTGCCGTGCACAGTCTCAGTCTCATTCCGTCTGCTCTAACCCTCTGGTTTTCTTTCTTTCTTTTTTTTTTTTTTAAGATTTAATTTTATTCAAAAGGCAGAATCACAGAGAAGAAGAAATAGAGAGAGCTTTTCCATCTGCAGGCCAAAGCTGAGCTTATCCAAAGCCAGGAACCAGGAGCCAGGAACGTCTTCTAGGTCTTCCTTGTGGGTGCAGGGGTCTGTGGATTTGAACGATCCTTCTCTCCCTTCTCAGGCCATAAACAGGAAGCTGTATTGGAGGTGAAGGAGCTGGAACAGGAACTGGTGCCCACTTAGGATACTGCTGCTGTGGGCGGAGGATTAGCTTGCTACACTACTGCACCAGTCCCTTGACTTTTCATGACTTTTCTTTTTAAAATATTAAATCTCTTTCTTTGCTCAGGGCACTCTCTCCCTCTAGAATGCTCTGCCAGCATCAGTATTTCTGGGTACCGTCATAATCATTCCAATATCTCAAATATCACTTCCTTAGACATGTGTTTTTGGGCTAAGCCTGATAGCCTAGTGACAAAATCCTTGTCTTGCTTGCACCGGGATCCTGTATAAGCAACAGTTCTGTGTCCAGATGCTCCACTTCTAGTTCAGATCCCTGCTTATAGCCTGGGAAAGCAATGGAGGATGGTCCAAAGCCTTAGGATGCTGCACTCAAGTGGGAGACCCAGAAACTCCTGGCTCCTGGTTTCGGATCAGTTTAGCTTCAGCTCTGGCCATTGCGAACACTAAGGGTAGTGAGCCAGCAAACAGAAAATCTTTCTATCTCTCCTTTCTCTTAAATCTGACTTTCCAATACAAAGAAGGAAATGTGTTCTTTGAATCTCTGCATCTAAATCAGTTCTCCCTCACCATCTTCTGTCACTTCCATCTTTTTGTGGAACTTACCTCCACCCAAGATTGCACGACCTCTTTGTCTGTTGTCTATTACCCATAGAATGCAAATTCTGTAGAAGCACACACTTGGCCTGGCTTATAATATGCTTTATTCTGAGCACACAGAGCAGTGATTAACAAGCTAGTGTTCAACAAATAATAAGGAATAAAGGAATAAAATGAAGATGAAACTAAATTGCCCCAGGTCATCCTAATAGCTAGAATAAGTATCTTCCTAGTACACTCAATTTCTCTGTGGTCAGAGAAGACTTAGAAATAGCGGAAGGTGAGTCACATTCCATTCAGCTTGAGAAGGAAGAGAGTGAAAGTGTTTTCATTGGTGTAGATGTGTTGGCAGGAGGTAAGGGGATGACCCAAATGTTGGTCAGTAGAGGGAAGCACGGAGAGTTGTGTGGAAAATGTCCATGAGAGTGGAGTGTGTGGAGACTGATTCTCTTCTTGGCTCTTTCCTTGTATCAGGTGTCAGTGAAAGCAGATGCTGGCAAGAGACCTGCGGCCGACAAGCAGGAACACAACGCTTCCCTGGACTCAATGCTTGGGGGTTTGGAGCAGGAACTGCAGGACCTTGGGATCCCAACAGTGCCAAAGGGCCATTGTGCTTCCTGCCAGAAACCCATTGCTGGAAAGGTGGGAGGGGCAGAGATGTTGGTCCTGTGGGCTCTGCGCATGCCTGAGTCCACCTTCCCCTACTGCAAGATTGTTCTTTCTCCTTGTTCTCCAGCGCCTTTCAGTTGTTAGTAGTGGTTGCTTACAGTGAGAAGGGCTTTCCCAGTGTTCCCTCCTGTAATCATCACTTGTGCCCTGCAAGGAAACTATTGATGTTTCTTCTATAAGAACAGGAAACTCAAGGATCAGAGATGCGTACTGACATGTCCACGTTTGAGAAAGAGCTGGTGGTAAACCTGGAGAGAATGATCTGTAAGTGCAGAGGACTGCACGGCCCCCGCTGAGGGATCGCTCACTGAGTGCTCCCCGTGTCCACGCACTGCCAGTCTCAGCTGATGGCTGACAAATCCCAGCTGGATTCAGCCTCAGACTCTGTGTCTCACCCTTCATGCAGCTAAGACAAAGGGCTTGGAGACTTGAACCTTTGTGTAGCGTGAGGTGAGGTATTTAGAGGAAGCCAAACTGTCGCTTATGCTTTTCCTGGAGTTGCATCTGTTCTTTCACCCCCTGGGACAGTAAAGTGAAGGTTTCTGGCAGAGTGATCATTGGGAAGACAGCCACTCTTACACTCGCAAACCTCAGAGTAGCAAACCTGTAGTGTGCTTTACCCAGAATACAGCGTCCTCAGTAAGCCTGGAGCACTCCGTTGTGGTCCTGAGTCAGGCTTGCTACCTCCCCTAGGTGATCCATGCCCTGGGCCAGTCCTGGCATCCGGAGCACTTCATCTGCTCTCGCTGCAAGGAAGAGATCGGCTCCAATCCCTTCTTCGAGCGGAACGGCCTGCCCTACTGCCCCAAGGACTACCACAACCTTTTCTCTCCGCGCTGTGCCTACTGCGCAGCCCCCATTCTGGACGTGAGTACAGTCCTCCCACCCCTCGTCAAGCTTTCATGGAGCTCTTAGGGGTCATGCTTGATAAAGGCTGTGCGTTCCTTTTCCAGAAAGTGCTGACGGCGATGAACCAGACCTGGCATCCAGAACACTTCTTCTGTGCTCACTGTGGAGAGGTGTTTGGTACAGAAGGTATGGCTCCCGGGGGAGGACTGTGCTCAGCAGTGCTTGCCTTGTGGCCTGCCGCCCACCTGCTGTCAGACTCCTGGCTTCTGCCTCCTAGGTATCTGCTGGTCCAGAGTTCATTCCTCCCTTTCTCCAACGTTTGTACCTCCTGTTTAATTAAAGAAATGTAGATTCAGAGCTTAAAGTTGTTAATATTAAATTAATATTAAGTATTAAATATTACTTCAAAATCAGTATTTTTGAAGAATAAGTGCACTGCTTTTCCCTTGACCATCTCCAAATCCAGTTCTACAAGTTATTTAAGCTGATTCTTTTATTTGCTTGTACGTTTTGAGTAGCAATTTATATTATTATGTACTGATTTCCCCCAATTGTTACCATTATAGATTGATTCCTACCATGAAGGATGAGGTTAAGAAATATTATTGCCACTCCACTCATGTCTGATATATACTTGGCTGTTTTTTAAACAAAATTATTTACTTGAAAGCCAGAAAGGAGAAAGAAGTGGGGAGGGAGAGAAAGAAGGAAAGAGGTTGAGACACACACACACAGAAGGCTCCCCTCTGTTGTGTCCCTGCTCAATTTCTTGAGGCATTGCTGTTACCTCCTAGCTGAAGACAGGAGCCAGAGACAGGCATTAACCCAGGAATTCCAACTTCAGCGTGCAAATGTCTTCATTGCCAGACCAAATGCCCACTCCCAAGGATACTAAGTGTGATTTCATAATTTTTGGTTAAATTAGTGACATGCAGGCAGGCACACGTTTACAATTTGGCCACTTAGCAAACTATGATTACCGTGAAGCATGGATTTTGGAGTCAGACTTCCTGGTTCAAATCTGGGCTATGTTATTTATGAGCTACATGATCTTGATCAAGGTATTTAATCTCTCTGTATCTCACTTTTCTCATCATTCACATAGATCTAATAGTAGTGCCTATCTTATAAAATAATGCAAGTATTATATTTGGCATGGTGAGTGATAGGGAGTCATAGTGATGATTAATATTACTATCATGATGTCTTCTGGAGTTAACGTTTGAACTCCCTTTTCATTAGATTAGTTTTCTTTATACTAATCCCTATTTTACCTAAGAGAAATGTGAAATTCTTCTCAAAATGTCCAGCTACTTTTGGAAATCAGTTTCATTTTTTGCCCCTTGGTTACACATCTCTAGGAGATTTGCAACCTCCTATTCCAATTTGAAATGCTTTCTTTGTGCTGAGTGTTGTCACTCTATTCTGTTAACTCCAGGATTTCTTTCACTACTTGCCTCTTTGGATCCTTCATTTCCAGAATAACATATCTTTTCCACATGTTACCGCCTTATGTTGAAGTATCACATCCTCTAGTGGCTTTCTGAGAAATAATAGGAGCTAATGTTCTTGCATAAAGTGAATGTATTAAAATGCTTTTTGTCTTTGCCCTTAAGTTGACTAGAGCATAGGATTCTGGTTATAAATTATTTTAAAGATTTATTTTTGTTGGAAAGGTCGAGTTTTACACACACACACACACACACACACACACACACACACAGAGATTGAGTTCCACCATGAAAGATGAGGTTAAGAAATATTATTGCCTCTCCACTCATGTCTGATATATTCTTGGGTACTTTTTTTTATTCAAACAAAGTTGTTTACTTGAAAGCCAGTAAGGAGAAAGAAGTGGGGAGGGAGAGAAAGAAGGAAAGAGGTTGCCTCTGGCTCCTGTCTTCAGCTAGGAGGTAACAGCAATGCCTCCATCTGGTTCACTCCCCAAATGGCTGCCCATGGCTGGAGCTGAGCTGATTCAAAACCAGGATCCAGCAACTCCTGCTCCTGTTTGTTGAAGCTCATGCAAAGGACTGGTTTTGCAAGACTTGAGAGGGAATAAGCAGGAGTGGGTACAGGGTTTAGGTCCAGGCTGGGTAACTCTTTAGGGATGGTCCCATGTAAGCAAAGTCTGTCTATTTGTACTCATTCCAGACTTCTTGCTACTCCAAATCAAGGAAAGTTTACTTTTTAATATTTATGTTATCATTTTAAAATATTTATTTATTTTTATTGGAAAGTCAGATTTGTAGAGAGAAGGAGATACAAAGAGGAAAATCTGCCTTGCTGATTCATTCTCCCAATGGCCACAGTGGCCAGAGCATAGCCAATCTGAAGCTGGGAGCCAGGAGCTCCTGAGTCACCCAGGTGGGTGCAGAGTCGCAAGGTTTTGGATGGTCCTCTACTGCTTTCCCAGGCCACAAGCAGGGAGCTGGATGGAAACAGTTGGGACAGGAACCGGTTTACACATGGGATCCTGGCGCGGGCAAGGTGAGGACTTTAGCCACTAGGCTACCATGCCAGGCCGTAAGATTTATGTTATTTTTATTGGTAAGGTGGAGTCACAGAAAACACACACACACACACACACACACACACACACACACACACACACACACACACACACACACACAAAATGAGAGAGAGAAACAGAGACCGAGTGGGAGAAACTGATCTTCCAGCCACTGGTCCATCCCCTAAACGGCTGTAGCTGTGAGGGCTGAGACACTCTGAGGCCAGGGGCCAGGAGCTTCCTCTGGGTGACTCACATGGGTGTAAGGACCCAAGGACTTAAACCATCCTCCACTGCTTTTTCAGGCTCTAAGCAGGGAGCCGGAGGGGAAGTGAGGCTGCTAGATTGTAAGCTGGCGCCTTATGGGATGCCAGTGCTACTGGTGGCGTCTCAGCACAAGGCCCTGGAGGTAAAACGTTTTTGCTCATAATTCCAAAGGTACTGTTTAGCTGCCTTCCAGATTCCGTGTTAGGAATATTTAATACGATTTTATTCTTATTGTTGAACTTTCCTATGTGATGTGTTTTATCCCTCTTTGCAAGCTTTTTTCTCTTATTTGCTGCTTTGTCCTAATTTCCTTCCCATTTCCTATTTGTTTTGAACAAATATGATTCATGCATGGGATCAGAATACTTCTTTATTTGTATTCTCATGTTCTTTTATATATTTTAAGATCATCTTATTTAATTTTTTAAAATCAAGTCATGTCGTACTTGCATGTTTTTATGGGGTAGAGTATACACAGGATAAACCAATCAGTTAACCCTGGAGGAAAAGTTTTTTCCTTTTTCTTAAAAAGCTTTGTGCATGTGTGCTGATTATTTTTCTAAAAGAGAAAACACATTGTTTACATAGCTGATGAGGATGCAGGCCCATGCAGGCATCTAGTTAGGGTGGGGAGGGTGTAGGTGTGGAGGAAGGTAGGTGGGACAAAGGTTTCGGGTTTTTTCCTCCTGTGTCTGCTGGAAGGGAAGAAGAGGGCGCCATTGCTTGCTGTGAAATTACATCAGCACCTGGATGTGGTGGATGGTCATTTGATGACTTCTTGGGAGACCCTGATGTGGGGAAGTGTTCTGAGCACGTCACTTGAAGGTTTTTTTTTTTTTATTACATTTCATTTTATGACACAGTTTCATAGGCTTTGGGATTCCCCCAGCCCCTTCCCGTACCCTCCCCCCCATGGTGGATTTCTCCACCTTGTTGCAGTATTACAGTTCAAATCCAATCATGATTCTTTCATCGCAAGCATGTACTTTGCATAGTGTCCAGCATCTTATTGTCCAGATAAATTCAACAATTTCTTGAAGGGGTTTTGATAATACTGGGACATTATTAGCTTTGTTACACCAGGGTTGAGAAAATCTTTCCAAGTCCTGTTGCCTGACCGAGACCACCTTAGTGCATCCCCAGACCCCAACACTTGCTGCAAAGCTTGGCCAGGAGAGTGGTTCATTGTGTTCTGCTTTCTGTTCTCTGATGAAGCACTCAATGTCCAGTGCTGGCCTAGATGATCTGGTTGTCATGTCTCCCACGTGCATCTGGGCATGCTGTCCACTGCGCAGGCGGCAGGAGCAGAGGAGGCCCAGTCCCAATACATGTAGTTCAGGGTTGGGCCACTTATCATATGATTTTTTTCTCTGGCGTTTGAGTCAAATGATTTAGCTGGGGAATCCTCAGACTTGATTCTTGTATGCTCCAGCTAGTGCTTGGTCCAGTTTGGTCCATTGCCCACACTAGCCAATGTACATACTAGTGGATGCAGCTGTCGGTCAGTTTTGCTCCCAAACCCCATCTGGCATGTGACTTAAAGGATGATGTAGCCAATCCCACCCCAGTCCTGACTCGTGCCCTCACCAGTAGGAGCAGCTTATGACTAGCAGGGGAGTTCCCCAAGTTACCCTACCAGGCTCACTTCCAGACCCCAGATCTCGTATGTTCTGACAGGTAAGTCAGCCCCCCAGTCCTGACATTCACTAGTGGGTTCTGTGGCCTAGTCCTACTGGCCCATACCCATTCTGGATCTTGCTGATAGATGCTATTGCTTAGCCCAGCCCCTCCTGAACTCATCCTGGCTCTTTAGAGTGCCAGCAGGTGATGGGGCATAGTCCAGCCAGGCTGCCCCTAGTCTCAAAACACATGTGTGCTGATGGGTACTGCAGCCTTGCCTGGCCTAGTACTCCTGGCCCTCCCCAGCCTTGGCTCTTGTGCTCACACATGGGAGTTGTAGCCCAATAGATGAGTCTCCAAAGTTCCTCTACTAGGTCTGTTCCCAACGCAGAATCTTGACTAGAACAGTGGGTGCTTTGAGCCAGAGCCAGCTCTCACTGGCAGATGTTGCAGCGTAGCCCAGCCTGGTATGGCCCACACACTGTCTTTACAGTTGCATGTGTTAGTGGTGCTGTGTCCTGGCCCAGCCTGGCCTGCTCCCACACTGAGTCCACACACGTGCTGAGTATTGCAGCTTTTCCTGGCCTGGCCCATCTCCACCTCCAGCTTCCATGTTCTCCAGTGGAAGCTGCAGTCCTGTAGGGAAATTGTGTAAGTTCTACCGGGCCTGCTCTCCACCATGGATCTTATGCATGCCAGTGGGCACTGTAGGCTTGCCTGGCTTGGTCTGCCCACAGTCCTGGCCTTTGTATATGTTGGCAGCTGCCTCCCAGCCCCGAATCCTACA